GGTAGGAAATTTTGAATTTGTTAGGTTCTTGGATTAAATAGATCAGTACAACAGCTCTTCATCCATTTCCGATGGAGAGATTCATCCATACATTTTGAATCAATTAGTCATTTATCTGGATGAATGTCAGAAAATGTGAAATAAGAATCTTCAACTGTTGGTAGGCATACAAAAAATCTCAGAAGTTCATGAAAATTAAAGAACACGAAATTTCACGTAGTATGTAGAAAAATTGATATAATATAAATACGAGAATCTACGAAGTAGTTAGTGTGTATCCTGTGAGAGATTCAGTTTAGTGTTAGTAACATCTATTCAGTTACTAGATCAGTTATCGATGAAATTCTATAAGTAAGGCATAGATTGCTTTAAGAGTTTCTGTTGAAACATTGTTTGTGAATTTAAAACTTAAAAAGTTCAAGTAAACACAGCCTTTAGCAAAATCATTTTGAAGAAATAAATTATTTCGTTATCTTGTGGACTGGACTTGGCGTTTTGGATGTGTTATGGCATGCTTAATTAAATGTTATAAAACGATCCTGTTCTGAATACAAGCGAGATTGGTGAGAATAATTAGATTGTGATATAGTTTCTAGCGTTTAAATCTGGAGACAAACCGCTGTGCTACTGGGGAGCATTTTTACTTTCAGATATTAAGTTATACAAAATCCTGGCCAGGCATTACTAGTTAATCTCGGAAATTTTAAAAATTTGTTGCGCTTAATAAATTTCGATAATTACCCTGCTATTAATGTACTTATTTGATGCGCAAAAATTTATGATAAGATATTACTGAAAGCAGTTTTGAGTGACTTAAGTTAAGGAAGAACTTATAATATGCAACTAACTTATTTTCTTATTTTAAGTTTTAAAAAACATTACGTTCTACTAGGTTTACCAAGCATTGTCAGGTGGATACTTTAGCGTTGAGTGAATGTCGTTCAGCAGGAGTAAGTACAATTACAAACAATTTGGATAAATGGTAATAAAAGATAGATTATAAATTAACACGACTAAATAAAAATATTATTGTGTTTTGTGCAACGTTTCGGGCAGACTCAGTTCGTCAGACAGTAAATTATTAATATTATATGACAGAATTTAGAAATTAGGGTAAGACAAGACTAACTTCTCTATTCTCATTAACTTAGTTGAAGTTAGTAAGACTAAGAGATTCGTTGATTGTAAATGTAATTACAATTTACAATGTAATTTACGTGCATTCTAGTTCTACGAGGAGCATGTTAAAAAAAATATGATTTTAGAAAATCGTTGTTGAGTTCTTTGTTTTTCGAAAACATTAAGATTTACAGTTGCTCCAACTAAAAGTTTTTTCTATTTTATTATAAAGTATTACATTTTTATCCGAATCGGTAGAGTTTTGAACCTGTAAGTAAAAATTTAATCTAATCCTTTATTTTTCATATAAAAAAAAGAATTCCCTTAAACTGGCTTCCACTACTTCCAATGCAACCCATTATTTTAGAAAAAATGTTAACTTCAGAGTTATTAGAAGATAGCTATTTTCTTTTAAGTTATAAGGTGGGTAACAGTTTCCAAGCAGAAACTGACATGATTGAGTTCTAGCATCATTTTATAAAAGAGTGAACCTTTAATTTTATATGGAGATACTTTCATCATTGGCCCTTAAGATCATAAAATAAAATTTTAATGGACGACTATGTCATGCTCACCTTTGTTGTGCTTTAGTTATATATTTGGCATTTTGAAATTTGCATGCTCTTTCCATCGTGCCAGCAGTTTTCTTATCATAGAGCCAATGTAACCTTGCTTATAACAAGGACAAACATTTGATGTTTACGAAGAAGAAGTACAACCTTTATATCCAGAGAAATTCTGCAGACAACATTCAGGTTTAAAGTATGTATGGATATACTGCAGGAACTAAAATGTATAGTTATTTTTTAACATACAAATAATACTTTCTAAGATATGATAAGATTATATGTTCTGGACATTAAGATACATATGTCAGTAGCTTACTAGTTTTTTATTCAAATAATTAGAGTCAATCAGATAAATAGTAAATTCCATATTCAGAATATAGTGTAACGACCTAAACAAAATGCTAATAAATTTCAGGTCAAGCAAAAACAATTTATTTAATATAAAAATATAAATAAAATTTTCAAACAAGTAGAATACAAATTTTATCGCTTGCAAAAGACAATTAGTAAATCCGTGTCTGGCCAGGACTAGGTACAAACGTTAATAAATTTAAGTAAATATCAAAAACATTAGGACAAAGAACCAAAAAAATATAAAACATAATTCACCAGAGAATAACAGAGTTTTCAAATTAAACCAGTTCTAAATATTAAGAACAATATTGAACAATAATTCTTTCTAATTATATCTCCTGAACATACCTATTTTCAAGTTCCAGCAAAGCTTGTTATTTAACAGCTAGAACATGTGACTATCTATTACATTAAATCTACATAATCTATCACAACATTTATATCTGTACAACAATGCTAGAGGAGATTTGTGTCAGATTCATAATACATACATACTCAAAATCAGTGTGCTCTATGTATAAAAATTCATTATTGACCTAAATGAGACAAGGAATAATACATTAATGTTAAACAAAACCATAACAAAATAAAATTAGAATTTGCTATCTCACAATAGCACGAAGAAATCAGAGTTTTTTACCCTATAGATAACCTTCATAATTCTGTAGAAGTTTCATTAAAATCACTTACCATTATTTCTTAGGGGAACACAGAGATCTTAACATATTCCTATAAGATAACCCTTCACTACCAAGAACACTCTGAACTGTTTTCAATAGGTCATTTCAGATGAGGAAAGTAAAACTGTACACAGTATTCTAATAGAAGCCTAACTTGTGATTTGTATAAAGAGACAATTACCTCTGTTGACTTATAATAAACAGTATATGTATAAAAGCACCCTAAAGTTCTATTAGCTTTATTGTTAGCAACAGAATACAGCCACTGTAGCTTGAGTGACGTACCTTCAACTACATTTATATCAAAACCCACCCTAAAGTTCTATTTACAGTGGCTGTATTCTGTTGCTAACAGTAAAGCTAAAAGAACTTTAGGGCGGGTTTTAATATAAATGTAGTTGAAGGTATGTCATTCAAGCTACAGTGGCTGTATTCTGTTGCTAACAGTAAAGCTGCTTGAGTGACGTACCTTCAACTACGTTTATATTAAAACCCCGTTCTTCAGTCACTGAGTGGTTCCTCATCTGTATTGATTGTGTAAAACAAATTATGGCAATCCAAATATATTACTTTGTACTTTCTATAATTAAATGTCGTTTCCAAATCTTTGTCCAACTTAACAGTTGATCCAAGTGATTCTGTATTACCTCAACATTCTCAATAAAGCTATAAATGCCTATGAGTTTAAAATTATTAATACATTTCATTAATTTATTAATTATAAGAGCTGGGTGATTGGTGGAATTTGATAGTCAATTTCTCATCAGGCTTATTAATCAATTACATTTAACTAATTGATTATTCTGACATGAAACTTGGATAGCTGGATTAATCAAAAATAGTAATAATTAGAAACACTAATTTCAATTAGTATATTATTTTACATGATATTAAATAATTCACTTGTAATTTTGATTAGTTGGTTATTTTACATGATATTATTTGATAGATGCTCATAGGTAAATATTTTCTTAGCTATACTAATTAACATCTTCCTGTTAGTATCATTAATGTAAATAAAAAAGCAGAGGTCCAAGCACATAACCTTTGGAGAACTCCACTAGTAGGAAGTATCTAATTTTACTGAACTTCATTAATAACAATTTCTTTCTCTCTTCCAAGCATCCTACAATCCAATTTACTTATCTTTCACCAATGTGATTTTCTTAGCTAATTTTGTAAGTGGCATCTTATATTGCTGTTTTTTTAATCTAGGTATACTTAATCCAACCTTTTCCATTGTCAATATAATCAAAGCAAGGTTTCCCTTTAATGAATCCATGTTGTCCGTGTTTCATAATACCATACTTCACTAAATGTTATTTTAAAACTTCTTTATCAGACAATGTACAAGTTTTCTCTGTACAAAGTAAGATTAACTGGTCTATAAGTTCCTGGGTAAATGTTAATCTTATTGAATAGAAATAACATAAAAACTCACCCATCCATTGATATCTGCCCACTGTCTGTTGATCTACAGTATTAGAAACAAGAGAGAGAGGCTTGCATATCTAATCTTTTATCTCCTTTAATCTATGCAGGAAAACCTTGGATGGTCCTGATGCTTCATCTGTTTTTCATCAGTCAGTCTTTCTTGTTACCATTAAAGGATTAGTATCAACATGTTAGAAGTCAATTCCAATATTTCACATAAAATACTCAGGGTTGGAAAAATTACTAATATCTTATTTTGCAAAAAAAAACGGATGAGAAAATTAGAAAGTTCAGTCCTTTCTTAGTCTTCAACAAAAACCTTGCCATCAGCATACCTTAAGGACCTACTCTTATTTTAACACACGTACAATAATTCCTTGAGAGTTAGTTTTCACATTACCATACAACTGTTTCTCATAGCCTTATTGGATTCTCTAATAATTTCTAGCCTTCCTACAATGGCCCGGCATGGCCAGGTGGTTAAGGCACTAGACTCGCAATCTGAGGGTCGCGGGTTCAAATCCATGTCACACCAAAAATGCTAGCCCTTTTAGCTGTGGGGGCGTTATAATGTGACGGTCAATTCCACTATTCGTCGATAAAAGAGTAGCCCAAGAGTTGGCGGTGGGTGGTGATGACTAGCTGCTTTCCCTCTAGTCTTACACTGCTAAATTAGGGACAAAATTCAAAAACAAACAAACAAACCTTCCTACAATGTAGTAAAGCTTCCATCTTATCATTCATTTAAAGCTTCTTTAACTTGTATTTATTCCTAATTTTCTCCTTTAAAGTATGCCCTTAGTAAGCCTATTAGGTGGGATTTTCGTTATTATACTCTTTTTTTTTTCTTTTAAGGAACATGCTTATATCTTGAATTAAAGTAATTAATTTTTATACATTTTCCAGATACATCCAACATCACTTTTTAATTCATTATCCAAATGCTCTGCTCATAAATCTTGTCTTGCGACCTCAGAGGTGACTTTCTGGAAATTTGGGACTAAAACTTCATTTCTTTTTATGACAGAATGTAGCAAAATATCATCATCAGTCTTAACTATGCTGTGATCTCTCTTCCCAGTTCAACTCCTGCAACTATACTATTATTAGTGGTTAACAATAAATCTAAAATGATGTTCCCAATGGTTGACACACTAACCATTTGGTGCAGAAAACCATCCTTAGTCACTTCAAGAAACCTCTCAATCACTATTTAACTCCATGTAATCTCAATAATTATGTCTTAAATTTGTTTTCAATAACTATTACATCATTGATATTATCAGTAACAATCCTGATCTCATCATAATATTTTCCCAAGGGTTTTGAAGGAGGTTAAAAAATTTGATATGTGAACCACTTGCTACTACATTTTGGCAGTCCTTTAATAGTAGGCAGGTAACAGAGGATTGGACATTAGCTAATGTAACTCCTCTTTTCAAGGGAGGTAATAAAAATTGTCCCAGTAGTTATAGACCCATTATTCTTACATCAGTTGTAGAAAATTTTTGGAAAGTCTGATAAAAGATGCTTTGCAGAGTCAGTTAATAAAGTTTAGAATTTTATTGAATTGTTATCATGGTTTCACTCAACAAAAATCTTGTCTTACAAATCTTTTGACATGCTTTGTAAAAATTACTGCTAATTCAGATGAGTGTAAGAGTGTAGATTTGGTGTATTTGGATTTTCAAAAAATATTTGATAAGGTACCACATAAAAGGTTTGTTAAAAAAAATTATCTCTATAGGTTTGGGGGATAAGTTAGTAAATTGGATAGAAAGAAGAGTGGATGGATGTAAGAAAGTAGAGGGTTGTTACAAATGGAGTTAGGTTCAAACTGGATTAACGTCACAAGTGTACCTCAGGGCTCAGTCTTAGGACCTTATTTCTTTTTGATTTACATCAATGACATAGATGAAAGAATGGTCAATAAATTACTTAAAATTGCAGATGATATTAAAGTATTGGATATTGCTAGCTATGAAGAGGATGCTGCTGATTTACAATAGGATTTAGATCATTTAGTGAGTTGGGCAAATAAATGACAGATGGGTTTAATTATAATAAATGCAAGATAATGCATGTGGGTTATCATAATTTGTATTTTAAGTATAATTTGGAGGGGGATAACTTTAACAGTGTCATGAAAGAAAGAAATCTTGGTGTAATAGTTGAACAGTCTCTCAAACTATCCAAGCAGTATGTTGCTGCTAGTGGTAGGGCAAATATGATTTTAGGTT